TTTTTTTTTTTTTTTTTCCCCCGAGACAGTGTTTCACTGTGTAGTCCAGGCTGGCCTTGAACTCATGATGATCCTCTTGCCTCAGTCTCCCAAGTGCTGGGATCATAGGTGTGCACTACCACGCCTGGCTCCTCATGTAGTAAATTTAATTATGAGTAATTTGTCTCAAAATGAACTTGGGTTCATTCCCTCAAAAAGTATTTAGAGCCAAAAGGATTTAATCCAAAAACTTATTTGCTACATGTACTTACCTTCGCTTTTCATATTATTTAAATTAAAGCAAGTGATTCCTTTTTCTCTGTTTACTGTGTGCACATCCTGATAAGGAGGTAATGTGTTTTGTGAAGTCACTAAGTGAAAGCCATGGCAAAACAGACAACAATAACATAAGAATGGCAGGTGCTAGACACCTGGCCTCCCTGCCTCTCTTTTGGCTCCATCAAGCTGAGCCTTTTCCCGGCAATGTCAGGCATCGTGGTCTAGGGGTTGCCGCAGCTTTGAGGCTTTGTACACCTGAGTAAATCCTAGCTTATTCCCTGCTTTCAGCGTGACCCCAGGCAGACTGCTTACCTCCTCTGATTCTGTCAGAGGGGACGGTGTGGCCTTGGTGTATGAAAATTACACGCGGTGATGTGTAGAAAGCACCTTGTGCACAGCAGGTGCATATGCATAACCCCAGACTCCTACCAGTTGTTTTTCTTTTCCTCTAGTGGCTCTATTCATCGGAGTCAAACTGACTTTGCTTTTGCGACTGGCAATTTGCTTGGTAAATTCTTATCTGCTCAAACTCGTGGGACCTTGGACCCCTACCAAGGTCAGGAGATCGTGGTGCGGGCCATGTTGGCTTTCCTACAGAAGCACCTTGGTAAGGAGTGAACTGGGGCCCACGGGGCAGAGGTGGGATCTCCTGAGTTTCTCCACAGCACAGTGGTCTATTCTGATACGGTTGGGGCCTGAGTGAAAGAGAGGTACATAGAAGTACAGAAAAAACATCTACCTGAAAGTTTAGAGACCCTGCCCTGACTCTTAACTAGGCAAATGACCCAGGCCTCGTCATTTAACCTGTCTCAGCTTGATTTCCTCACTTTGTAGAGGCCATTTGCTTCTCTGTACTCCACCATGTCTGTCCTATCCTAACCTTAGCAGTCACCTTATAGGCACTGTAGGGAGGTTATGATAATAACTGGGCTAAACATATCAAAGTGCTTTGAAGAAACCACGTATACAGGGTTGTGACTAATGCCATAAATCACAGACCAGCTAACTGGCAAGGATTTTAGAGGTTTCTGGTCCAGCCTCCACCCAAAGGAAGTGTCCTCTCCTGCATCTACCCTGATATACAATCAAGCCCTCTTCACCAAACAAACCTGAACAATTTTAAGAGTTGAAATTCTAGGTAAGATTTTTTTTAATCTATAAAGACTGGATGTTCACTAATTTACCTTGAGAAACAAAGGAAGTTCGTTTAGGAGCGTACAGCTGGACCAGGGAGGCAGTGCGGAATTACAGACGCTCAGGTCAGCGTGAGACTGACCTCTCATATAGCCTGTCTCACAGGCCTACTCTCAGTCCCTTGCTGTCTCTTTGGGTTGTTGTTGTTTGGTCTCAATCTACCTTTTTCTTTCTTTCTGCTGTTTTTCTCTTGCTGGTAGCATCTATTCATTCAGTTTCTGCTGCCTTGTAACCCTCACTTGGCTTCAACCACTTTGGTGGCTTGTTCTGTCTGCCTTGTGGGTGTATTCCTTTCCTCTCTAGCTTTCCCTGCTCATAGCCGTATTTTTTGGATATCTTACATCGGATTCCCAAGAGAGACAACTTGACCTGTATCAGGTCATCTTTGCCAAACCATCGTAGGCCACTCTCCAACTTAGGCTTGGCGCCCTCGTGATCAGATGTCCCCTTCCGATGAGGCTGAACCCTCCTCGCAGGTGCTGGGGACGGCTCTTTCCATCAGGAGGGCCCAGGCTCTCCAGGACTGCTGACCTTTGGCCTCTGGTCTAACAGCAAGATGTGATGCTTTGTACCCTGCACTTGCCCCATGTATCCCTCAAGAGCTGACCAAAGAAGCCTCAGCTGGCACATGGCAGTTCTTGGGATACGTGGTCACCTCCGATGCCCTCTCTGAGTTTTCTGTTCATTAGGTTAAAATTCCCTGTTGCCTTCCCCTTTTCCCTGTTCATTCCCCCATTCTGTCAGTCATCATCCCCTTCCTTTGGATGTGTTGCTTGTCAGTGCCCCTTTTAAAGGGTGAGGCCCTGGCTTGAACATGACCTGCTGGGTATGCTCAGACCAACACCTGGTAAGCAGAGCTGTCACCTCTGCTCCAGACACTTAACTTCTGGTTGGGTGACCTGGATGAATCGGCATTTCCCATTGGTGTGCAACATATCTGAATTTGGTTGGGTTTGCTTTAAAGACATGCATGTCCTACTGGGCACAGTGGCACATGCCTGTAATTCCAGCACTCTGGGAAGCTCGGGCAGGAGGATTATAAGTTCAAGCCCTGCCTGGGCAACTCAGTGACTTAGCAAGACCATGTCTCAAAATTTAGAAAAAATTTTTAAAAAGGATGCATATGTAGCTCAGTGTTAAGGCCCTGGGTTCAATCTTCAGTACTGGAAAAAAACCCAACTATATATGTATGTTTGAATTATATTCATAGGCTGTAATGAGCCATTGGTGGGTTTTCAGCAGAAGGCCACACCTAGACTTGTGTTTGCAGTTGGCCTACATCCCAGAGGATGGAGATAAGGGAGTAAGAGACAGAGAGCCCAGCTGAAAGCCTTGGCAGTGATCCAGGTGACAGAACATAAGACAGAGACCGAATAAAGGCCAAGGCTCTCTGGCTGGGCTAATGAGCTTTCCAAAGGCAGAAAAGCTTTTTGGTGTCTATAGGGTGTGTTGTCACATAAGAGACTAAAATAAGCTCTAGGTGGCTCAGCTGCCCCTCACTCTGAAAATCACCTCTGAAGAGTGCACGCACACCCTGCTGATTCAGATGTCACCTCCCGGTAGAAGATTGCTGCCTCCTAGGTATTAACTCCACACATGGCTCCTGTCTCCATCACCTCATCCTCCCTCCTGCTACCCTAGGAGACAGTTTCACACCTTCTCCTTCTTCCTCAACCCTCTAGCGCCTGCCTCTTCCCTCAGCCTCTCAGCCGAGTGACTGTGCCTCCCACGTCACTGAGCTGGAAGCTGCCAGCACTTCCTCCGCCTCTCCACGCCACACCTCCTCCTTCCTGTAGACCCAGCTCTCCCTCTGTCCGTCACTGTCCCTCCTTGCTTGCCTGGCACTTGCGCACTACCTTCCATCTTGCCCACTCAAGACGACTGCACCAAGCAATTTCTCCCTCTTTGCTTTAGGTCACCAGTTTTTCCCTCTCCTGGTTCATTTTTCTTCCCTTATTTAAAAAACAAATGGGTTGGGGTATAGCTCAGTGGTAAAGCACTTGCCTAGGATGTGTAAGGGTCTGGGTTTGAACCCCAGCACCAGAGAGAAAAAAACCTCTTGGGCTGGGGATTTAACTCAGTGGTTCTGCTGCCTGACTTGCAAGTGCAGGGTCCCAAGTTCGATCCCGGTACCAAAAACCAAACCAAAACAAAGAAACAAAAAAAACCTCTTGACCTCAGTATCTCCTCCATTTCTGTTTTCCACATAATAACAAAGAGCAAAACTCAAAAAAATCTTTTCTTTCTTTCTTTGTGTGTGGTATGGGTATGTGGTACTGTGCCACTGAGGATTGAACTTGGGCCTCTTCACTGGGCTACATCCCCATCCCTCTTTTTTGAGCAGAGTCTTGCTAAATTGCTAAGTTGCCCAGGATGGGTTTGAACTTGTGACCCTCTGGCCTCAGCCTCCCAGAGTGCTGGGATGGTAGCTGTTTTCCACCATGCTTGGCTTGTCTTCACTTTTTCTAATTTCTCTCTAAAACCCACTCCCTTCAGGCTTTTGCAACACGATACTGCATCAAAACTGGAAACCTTCACAATGCTAAATCCATGGTCAGTTCTCCCTCCCCAGCTGGCTGGCTGTCAGCGGCCTGAGATGGCTGACCGTGCCCCCTTCTGGGAGATCCTGTCTCTGCTTTGAAGGAGTTGGGGGTTTTCTCCCAGCTCATCGGCTCTTCCACCAGCATTACTGTTTCCTGGGCTGCTCGTGCTTGGCCCTTGGCTTAGTCTGTTTTCTCTTGGTTTAACAGAACTGCCTGAAACTGGGTACTTTATAAAGAAGAGAGGTGTACTTAGCTCACAGTTCTGGAGATCGAAGAGCACTGTGCTAGCTCGTCACTCAGATCAGAGGCTTCATCCTTGTCTCTTCTCATGCACTTTCCCCTCTGAAAATCCTGTTGGCTCTAACTTCAAAACACATCCGGACCCTAATCACTTGTCTCCACCCCCACAGCCGCCATCCCATCCAAATTGTCTCACCTAAATCACTACAGTAGTTTCCTAACTGGTCTCAGCTTGCCCCTGTTCCCCGACAGAGTCTTCTAATACAGTGATTCTTTTAGGGAGCAAGTAGATCTTGTTACTCCTCTGCTCAGAATCCGTAGTGGCTCCCCATTACTCTGAGAGTTGAAGCCCACTGGGCCTTTATGACACAGCTGCCTGGTCCCTCCTGGCCTCTCCTGCCGCTCTTCCCTTAGCCTGCTTCACGCAGCATGTGAAACTCCCCTTCCCCATGCTCCAGGCATATGCCTGCCTCAGGGCCTTTGCACCTCTGCTGCCTCTGCCTGGAGCACTCCTCCCAGATGTTCTGGCTCACTCCCACCTCCTCCAAGTCTTTGCTGAAATCTCAGCTTCTCAGCAGGGCCCCTCCTGACCACCCTTTTTGAAACATTCTACCCTCTCCTTTCCCCCTACTCACCACTACTGCTTCCCTCATGCTGACCTGTTTCCTTTTTTTCCCTGTGTCATTTATGCCTTTTTCACATCCTGCATAATTTAATATGTTTATCATTTATCCCTGCCCACTTGATTATGAGCTCTCTGAGGAAAGGTGTTTCTGTTTTGTTCTTGGACATATTTTTAGCACCAAAAATAGAGTGTGGCACATAATAAGCATGCTCTTTTTTTTTCTTTCTTTTGTGATACTGGGGATTTTTTTCTCTTGTAGTTCAGGGTCTTCACATTGAGCTACATTGTCACCCCCTTTTCATTTTTAATTTTGAGACGATGTCTCAAGTCACGAAGTCACTAGGTTGGTCAGCCTGGGCTCAAATTTGCAATCCTCCTGCCTCAGCCTCCATAGTATTGCAGGCATGCACCACCACAAAATTTTTTCTTTTCTCAGGACGGGCGTGGTGCATACCTGTAATCCCAGCATTCGGGAGGGAGGCTGAGGCAGGAGGATCGCTGTGAGTTCGAGACCAGCCTGGGCTACATAGTGAGTTCCAGGCCAGTCTCAACTACACAGTAGTGAGACCCTGTCTCAAAAATAACAAAACAAACAAACAAACAAACAAACAAAAACTCCAGAACAGCAACAGAATTCTTTTTTCTCACTCTCTGAAAAAAACAAAAAACAAAGTAACTATATTGCTTAGGCTGGCCTTGAACTCCTGAGGTTGAGTGATCTTCCTGCTTCATCCTCCAGAGTAGCTGTCACTGTAGGTGTGTCACTGTAGGTGTGTGCCCCTGCACCTAGCTTGAATTAATGACTATGTAGCATTGTGTGTTGAGGACCTGTTCCCTGTCAGGTTCTTGGAAGGGCACTGGGGATCCAAAGATGAAGGAGAGCTGCCCCCCGTCTCTGTCCCAGGCTCTGTTTATTCCAAACCGTTCGCCTGCTCAGTTGCACCCCCTCCCTTGGCCTGGGGGCTTAGCCCCATTCTGACCCTTCTTGCCCACAGTCTCGGCGCTCTTGAATCATGGCTGATGTTAGGCTGCTTCGTGAAGTTGCTGCCCTGTTGCTTTGCCCTGGGGTGACACTGGCCTTGCTTCTACTGGCTGGGGGACTGGGAACCTCTTCTTGCTTACTACCTTGTTTTCTCTGTCTTTCTGACCTGGATTTGAATTCTTTCCCTACCTCTTATTCGCTGTCATGACCTTGGGCAAATCAGGTTGTTTTCTTCAGCCTCAGTTTCCTCAACTCTACAGTAGGGCGAATGATAGGACTTAGCCTATGGGGATATTGTGAAAATTGCGTGGGTACACATAAAACATTTGGCACAGTCCCTAGAATGAATTCTCCTTTATGAGGTTTTGCCCTCCGGTACCATTATCAAATTGCCACAGATTATGTAAGTTGTTTTTATTTGTTTGTTTGTTTTTGTTTTTGTTTTTTTGGTACCAGGGTTCAAACTCAGGTCCTTGAGCTTGCAAGGCAGGTGGCAGCACCACTGAGCTAAATGCCCGGCCCTCTAAGTTGTTTTTAAAGGTGGTGCCACCACCATCACAACTACCATAACCAGTCCTTTTGGTATCCCAGAATGCTTCTCTCTTGAGGACAACCCACTGAATTGAGGAGAGCAACTCTTGGGCCTAATCTTACAACAATCTGCCTAACCATCCTCTTTTCTCCCCATTCAGACCTGCAAGAGGACTATGACCAGTGGAACAACTTCATTGAAGGCATTGGACCATCGCTCACTCCAGGCGCCCCACACCATCTGTCCAGTCTATAGGCACAACTGGCTGTTTGTAAAAGATCACATGAGTTGAGTTTCCATTTGGGGGCTTCCCAGGAGCACCCAGGAAGTGGTCACCTTCCCCATTTTGTACAGATTGAGAGGATGTAATCACACCGCTGATTGGACACCGGGGTAATCTTGGGCTTGGTGTTAACTCACATTAACTGATCACTGATCACTGACTGATTGGCAAACTGCTCTGGAGCCTGAGCCCTGATGATGTGAGGAACAAGCAGCGGGGTGGGGCTGGAAGTGCCCCAGGCTCCAAGCTGAGCCTGTGAAGCCTGGAGTGAAGACAACCAGGCTTGCATCTTTAGCAGAAGTGAGAAGCCAGAGGACAGGGTGAAAATCTTCAGGCCCCTCGCCTGGCCCGGCACTCCCTTCCTGCCCCTCAGCCTTCTTCCTCACAGGGCCATTTGCTGAAGTGTGAGTACTTTTGGTAACTTTCTAGGATATGGACCATTGTCACATTTGCCATTCATTTTCACATCTTCTCATTTCAAGAAACACAGTGTCGGGCACTTATTACTGAATGACATAAGCCAACAGGAGGCGCATAGTAGTTTTCTCTTAACATAGGGAGAGACACACAGGCCCAAAGATGCTGAGCTACCTCAGAAGCTCTGGATGCCTTTGGGGTTTTGCCAAAAGTATATCCTGACGAGAAACAACATGAGTAGGTTGAGCTGAGCAGGTAGAATAACATCGCCGAGTAGCCATTCATACAGGCCCTTGCCACAAGAGGGAGGTGGTTTGGTCAGTGTAAACTCAGGAGGCCATTCCTAAAGAGGTCTAGGATTAGCTTGGTCTGGCCTCCGACCTCAGATGCCCCAACCTCCAACTTAGAATCGGGTGCTTTCATTGTCTGTTCTTTTGCTCTGAGGGTCTCACCCCAAATTTAAGTCAGGATACAAAATTTGCATTCTGTTCCGTTTATAATTTAAATGATATTGATACTCATGTTTGCCTAATGATATGTTAGAATATTTTCTCTATTTAATCTGCATTAGAGCAAGATGGGGAAACCATCTGGAAGTGACTTTTCCTTCTGTCTTTCTTTGTTCACTAGCCACTTTGTGTAAAAAAAAAAATCTTTAAAAGGAAAGGAAGTCTTCCTAGAGATGTAGTTCAAAGCTGGGTGGGAATGTCCACCTGAGAGATTCCGGGACACCTCATCCTGGTCTGGGGAAGGGAACCCCAGAAGAGACAAGAACAATAGGGAAATATGCTTCTGCATAGTAGTTCTAGGTCAGGGCCCCCAAAGCAAGCAGGGTCAGGAGGGTATCGTAAAATCCTGGGTTCTGAAGTTAGTCTGGCTCCACACCTGCCAACAGGGTAAATTTGAACAAATGATATTCTTTTTCCAATTTCAATTTCCTACTTCTGTATTAATAGTCGGAGAATTAAGTGAGAGGATGTATAACCCATGGGTATTACAATGTGTTTTTTCTACTTTGCAAATATAGGAGGGTTTTCTAAGTTATAGTTATTACTTTCTAGATGAATTGCTTTGTGGTCCAAGAAAATGACCCATATGATTTCCAACCTTCAAGGTTTATTGAAACTTAATTGTTGCCCAGTGTGAGGTCAATTTTGTAAATTTCCATGTATACTTTAAAAATCTGTCTACTCTGAAGTTGTTGGCTTGCTTTTTTTCTCAGCAATACACCATGGGTTTCACATGGTAAGAGCACAGGCATAGGGATAAAAGCCCCAACATGGGGACCAGAGCCCCTCAGCACTCAGGACCAGCTCTAGGCCACCCCAATCCTGGTACAGCAAATGCTGAAGGGCTGGTTCTAGAAGCAATAGCATGTGAGACCTGATTTCTGTCTTAGACCCATAAATAATGCAGGTGGATTTGCCAAAGTCCTGAACAGGAGACCTGGAGCCTCCCAAGAAAAAGGAGTGATTCAGGTTCGGAAACCAGGCCCTTCTGCATCCATTTCATGTTCTGGTTATCCAGCCGAAGAATGGTGATCTACCTAAAAGGTAACACACATACTTCCTAAAGTGGACTCATTTAGTTTTTTAGGATGTGTCAGTCAAGTTAGATTATATGGTATAACAACCTCCAAAAGCAACAGAAGTTTTTATCTTCCCTGTGCCAGGTGTCCTCTACAGAACACTTGTAGACCACACTCTGTGTTGTGTTTATTCATTCTGGGACCCATGCCGGCAAAGCTGCCACTCTGGGGAAGCATTGCCCGTCACTGTGTTAGCACTGGAAGAAAGATGGTGTCGTCACTTAGATCTAAAATGTCCCCCCAGAATCTCATTTGTTTGGGTGGTGATTGGATCGGTGGGTTCAGTAGTGATGAGATCAATACTGAATGTGCTGTTAAGAGGTAGGGCCTGGTCAGAAGAGGTGGGTCACCGGGGGCATTACCTGGAAAGTTGTATTCTGGTCCCTTGCTTGCTCTTTCTCTCTGCTTCCTGACCAGCATGACATGAGCAGCTTTTCTCCACCATGCCATTCTGCTTTGGGGCCAGGTGACCATGGACCGAACCCAATGAAACTATGAGCCTAAATAATCCTCTTCTCTTTTTTTTTAAATTTTTTTTTGGTACCAGGGATTGAACTTGGGTCCTTGCGCTTTCAAAGCAGGTCACTGAACCACTGAGCTAAATCCCCGGCCCTCTCCTCCTTTAAATTGTAAGTATTGTCAGATGTTCTGTCCTAGCAACAGGAAAACTGACTAATCCACATGGTGAGGCAACTACCAACTGTAAAAGATTTTATCTAGAGGTGACACTTACTTTTTCCATTCATGTTTCATAAGCCAAAGCATGTCGTATGGCCATCCCTGATATGCCATGCTATCCCTAGGGGGCTAAAATATTTGTGACCACATTTCATGTTAGAGAGGTGGTGCCCTCGGGTCTAGGAAGGTGTGGATAGCTGTTTGTGTCTATACCCTGTGGCTCCCAGCAGCTGCCCTCTTAGTTCTTTCGACTGCTTTTCAGAGACTGTGTCAGCTCCCTTGTGGCAGAGTTGCCAGCTGTCACTCTTCAGAGCCTTTCATGTAGCAGCCACTAGCAGCCCCCCTGTTCACATCAAGTCTGTAACTCCAATGTGCAGTGGACTGAGAAATTGGTCATGTTATTTGAGGCCATGTGTAAAGGAAGCTAAGCTCGGAAGTTGCTGAGAGGGAGTGTCAGGGACTCTCCTGCTACTAAACTGTAGCCTTCAGTACAGGGGCCTTGGGATCCCTCCTCTGACACCTGGGAGGGTACACTAGGTCTCTGGTTGGTTGTTGGTTTTTGGTTTTTGGTTAACTTCTAGGGAATCGAAAGATAAACAGGTGTGTGTGTGTGTGTGTGTGTTTCTGTCTCTCTGCCTGTCTGTCTGTCTTTCTGTCTGTCCGAGGATTGAACCCAGGGCCACTTGACTATATCCCAGACCCCTTCTATTTCTTATTTGGAGACAGGCCATAAGTTGCCTGGGCTGGGCTCAAACTTGTCAGCCTCACAGAGTGCTGGGTTTACAGGCATGTGCCACCATGCCCGGCTGATAAATTCCTTTAGATAAGCAAGGTAATCCTCATTCTAGCTGGCATGTGTTAATAAATGTCATGTAATGATTCTTTTCCCAAAAGATGTGTTGGTTTCTTTTGCCTCTTCTCATTCCCCATCCCAGAGGCTCCTAGTGGGATCTTGTAAAGGCAAGAGACAGTGTGTCAAGAAGGCAGATAAGTAAATATCAGATGGGATGAGCCTCTGCATCCCTCCACGTCCTGGACCTGCCATCCTAAGGCTGGTTGGGTTCTTGTTATATCCCCAACACCGTCCCCAAGTGCCTTTCCATCATGTCCTGACACAACTGTCCCTCTTATCCTTCCTTAAGAAGACTGTTGGGCACTTAAGATGTCAGATAAGATTCCAACTCTGTGTTGTATCCTCGTGGGGACCTTCTGCTCCCTTTTTCCTCGAGGTACCACTTATCCCTAAGCCCACAGAGTGACAGGGATAGAAGAAGCCATACTGTACTTGGGACTCATCCTCATTAGGAAGCTCACTGTCCCATTTCAGTCAGGCACAAAGGCCAAGTGTCACTGACATAGCTGCAGGGCAAAATGACAGTGATGGTAACAATAATCGTAATAGCTAACATCTCTTGGGCCCATGCTGGGTGTCAGGGCCCATACTCTGTGCACGCATTACAGGTACTTCCCACAGTAACCCCATGAGATCAGGTGGCATCGGCTTCATTTTATGTATAAGGAAACAGATGCTTAGAGAAGCAACCTAATTGGGCTCATGGCAAGAATTTGGCAAAGCTAGAATTTGAGCATCTAAATCCAAGCTCAAAATCACTATGTCATAGTGCCTAATACACAGGCTTGGTTTTGCATTTACCCCTGTTTCTTCAAACTACCAAGTATGGGCAATATAATTTCATGACAGGCTAACTAGAAATATCAAGGTTTCCAGAAATTTCTAAATGATCTTTATTGGGCTTCAGTGATACTCTCAGCCCTAGTGAGAAATGGGTTGAGGAGGAGAACTGAGCCCCACTGAGGACAGTAGGTCAGGGGCTCTGTGAATTTGACCCATAGAAAAGTAAGATTAAGAATGTGTTCTGCCACCTGCCTTACAAGCACAGGGTCCTGAGTTCTATCCCTGGTACCAAAAAACAATACAAACAAATAAACAGAATGTGTTCTTCAGGCCAGGGATTTAGCTCAGTTGCACTGTGCTTGCCTCACAAGTGCAAGGTCCTGAGTTTGATCCCTGGTACCCAAAAATAATAATAAAATAAATCGTGGCCTTGGTTTAACTTCTCATTCTAGTATCTAGTTTCATGATTACTGTCCTCACATTAGCCTTCTAACTGCCACTCAGCTACAAACTACGGGAGACTTGGCCAAGGAGTGAATGGTTAAAGTGTGGGGCCAAAGCTTGCCGGCTCTGTGAGGAATGAATGGTTAAAGAACAAAAAATTTAGATCGATGAAGCATCTTGTGTCTGGCTGGTTGTCCTTCCCCATCCCACTGCCCCCCAAAAAAACTGCCTCGTCTTGAGACAGTTCCTTGTCCTTTCTTCTCTTTTTCTGTCTTACACTGAAACTCTAAGTAAAAGCCAGAGAGTTGTCAGCTTCGGAGCTACTCCTGGGAGTCTCCTAACTCTGGGTGCTCTCAGGTGAGATAGCCCCTCTGGGGCCTCTCAGTAATTAAACTGAATCTCTTCTCCGAGTAATCTTTTTCTTCCTTCACACTGCCACAGTCGCACACTGTGACAAATAGCATTGTGTTTCCATATCAGGGTGGACCTAGGTGATGAGAGACAGTTTCCTATTTTCTTGATCTGTTTTCCCTGCTCCTCGTACCAAAAATCAAAACCCACACCATATTCTAGTCCCACAGCCTCTCGTATTCCCGGAGGTGTCCCTACTCTTAGGTTCTGGTTTGGGTTTTCTTTCAGAATTAATCATCCAAACTAATGCATCTGTACACCAGATCAAAGCAAAGGTCTGAAAATATTAAACAGGTGACACAGAGGAGAGGATCTGTGTGGAGGTTGCCAAGGGGAGGACTCAGCGTAGGGACCGGATGATACAGCCTGGTTGTATTAATTTTTTGCCTGCTGCCTTTGAGGCTGGGGAAAGGAGCTGATGTGGCTTGTATCCCCAGGAGAACCCCCCTGGCCTTTGTATTGTCTCTTTGCCCTCTCCTCTGCAGCCGTATCCCATTTCCTACCTACTAAGTCTTCTTGTTTCTCGCCCCTTGGTGGTTCTCACACCCAGCCCATCCTTTCCATGTCTTTATATCTGCTTTCTACCAACTCACCCCTGCTAGTGTTTTCAGCTCCTAAACTGTAATCTCTCTTATTTCCCTAATCTTCTGCTGCCAGATCTGTCTGCTTTTGTGTCAAAATACCAGGCTGGTGAGATGGTCTAGTGGAAAGAGGACCAAACTGGTTTTCTGGAGCTCTGGGTTCTTGTCTTGACACTTGTCACTGCACTGTCTCTCTCTCTCTGTTTTGTTTTTTTTTTTTTTTTGTACCGGGGATCAAACTCAGGACCTTGTGCTTGCCAGGCAGGTGGAGGCACCGCTGAGCTAAATCCCCGGCCCTTGTCACTCACTGTTTCTTGCTCTGTGACTTTCTGTATGCTTCTCCTTTGACTTCCCTGTCAGTAAATTGGGAGTGGGGTGGTGGTGGTGGTGGTGGTGGTGGTTGAATTAGCTCATCTTTAAGGCCCC